CACATTTGCATCTTTCAATCCAATTGACCAACACTTGCATTCATGTTTATTTTCCGCAATATAAACACAATGATTTCGTTTTACAAGTCTTATTTAATCAAGAAATCACATAACTGTTTAGGTCGTTAGTCTCTTGGGAAACAATATTTGGTCTTATCATTTATTATTATTTGATACGATTCGATATACTTGCCGAAGTGTTAACAATATACAATTCCAACATCAAAGTTAACTAACATACATTCAATCTTTCATACTATTAACTACCAAAACATACTTTGCAACTGAAATTAATAGAAAACACTAGCTTATCTTACCTTACACCAAAGTTATTGAGCTCTAAAGACACCGACACCCTTGCTTCAGACTCAAGGAATCTGAGATATGCCTACAAACAGCAAAATTGAAAACAACGTGAGTTTTTAGGACCACTAAGCAACAAAGAATAAGAAAAGAGAGATGAACGACATATGCGTCACTCCTAAGCCAAAGATTTTAGAAACAAATAGCGAAAGAAAAAAGTAGTAGAAACATACTTGCTCTAAAGAAGAAATGGATCGGATAGAAATATAAACCTCGTGAATGTGGTCGTTTAAGCACCTCCTAATCGTCAAACATATAATAGAGGAGTTAGAAAAGGTAGAGAGAAGTGAGAGAGAACTAAGAGGAAAAGTTTTTAGAGAGATGATTTGTGTTTTAAGTAATGAGACGGGTTTAAAAAATTCTATTTATATTATCGATTTATTTTAAAATAAAATACCCAATCTCATTATTTGAAAAGATCTATATACCCTAATACTTTATTTTCTAGGTTTTTACAATTAACATCTATCTATAATTTCGTATTAAAATTGTATTTAATAGTTAATTTTAAAATTTTAAAATATACATATTTGTAATAAAAAATTACACTCCATAATACTATCAAGTTTGTTTTATATTTTTTTAATTTATTTCGGTAATGTCATTAAATATATTTTGCAATAATTTTAGTAATTTCTTTTAAGAAGTATAATATTAAGAAGTACTAATTTTTAGCACAATTGTAAACCAAATAAAACGAGTATTAAAGTAATTTTTTAGTACCTTCTTTTATTATATTATTATAGATAATAGATTATAATAAATTACTACATAGTTATAAATCATAAAATGATAAAACTAAAAATATAAGAAAAATAGTATAAAAATGCATACTTTAAATATAAGTTATTATTTAATACTTTATTAAATGATCAATTAATTAGAAGTTACAGAAAAATAAAATTAACAATTAAAAAAATTATAAACAAATTAGCTTAAAAATAAAATAAATGGATAAAAAAATAAAATACATTGTATGCACATGTGGTAAAAAATAAATAAAAAATAATATAGAAAAAATATTTTAAAAATAAAATAAATGGCTAAAAAGGTAAAATAAATTTTATGCATATGTGATAGCAAAATAAATATAAATAAATAAAATTAAAATAAAACAAATAGATAAAAGAGTCAAATAACTTTCATAAACATGTGATAATAAAATAAATTATAAATAAAAAAATAAAAATGTCAAATAACTAAAAAACTAAGTTCTTGTCAACAAACTAAAATGAATGATAAGATAAATTTGTGACCATATTTTTTTTTCTTATATTATAATAGATTGACACTCCTTTTATGTAAAACATGGAATCCCAAGCGTGCAAAACATTTTCCTTCTTCTAACCAAATCCTAATTTATGAATTACAAGACACATGGGAACATAGACACCAAAATAAGTGTATATTAAAATAGATAGGACACAATATTATTTATATAATTATAATATTTATATAATTATAAATAACTTAATTAATCAAAAGTGTAGATTAAAATAGAGAGGACACAATATTATTTATATAATTATAATATTTATATAATTATAAATAACTTAATTAGTAATTCAATTATTATATTTAAGTATTTTATTTGTTTTAGTTTTATGTTTATTTTTTATTGAATTGAGTTTCAATATTTATTAAATAAAGTTAATATGATTTTTTTAAAATTGGAAGACTCATGCTAATTAAAAGGTTAAATTAGTAATTTAGTTTTTATATTTTTTGTATTTGAATAAGTTCTTACAATTTTTTACATGAAGACAATGTGGTCTTAAATATATGATCTTAAATTTTAAGAAAATGATCTCGGTGAAATTGTGTTATAAAAAAAGTTGGAGATAAAGAAGACAATTTGAACTCATGTGCACACCTTCTCTATTTAAAAAATATAAAGACTTAAATAATTAAAAAAAATATTTCCAATTGTCTCAGTTGGATCCATATATTTATAAAATATCTTAATTGGGTTCAAATATTTGTAAAATTGAGTCAATTTTGCCCTGACCGTTAAATTGTCACAAACGGCGTTAAAATGTGTTGAGGTGGATATACGAACGTGGATATTTTATTAAAAAAAATATGCTGTCAGTGATGACATGGAATTTAATAAATTAAAAAAAATAAAAAAAATTATGCAATCAGAAAAAAAAGAGAGGAAAATGGCATGCACTCAGAAAAATTACAGAGACCCAATTTAGAAAATCCTTCGAATCCCAAATCGCCACTGCCTCATCTCTTTTGCAAAATCCTAACTTCGGAAAGTCGCCGCGAAGGCGCTACCATTGTCGCGCTGCAAAGCCGAATCGCCATGGTCAAGGTGGTATTAGCAAAAGAGTAAAGAGATGGTCAAAACCAGGACCGCCATGGTAGCTTGCAATTCCATTTTCATCCTTCTCAAAGAGCTAAAAATGTAAATTAGTTTCTGCAATTAAAGCTGACCTTTTCTCATTCTGGTCTGTATGCACAATTTTTCTGATCTATATACAAAAAAAATCAAGTTGCTCAGAAAGTTTAAAGCAGTCTTTGAAATTCCTAATCATTTGAAAACCGAAACTTCACGCGTTGTAGAGCTGGGTTATCTATCTCGTTTTGATTGAGGAATCAAAACCGAGATTAAAAAAAAAAATAATAAAGTACCCCTGATTCTCGGTTGTTTTTTCGGAACTATCCCTGTTTGTGTTCCGAACACAATTTTGGTTTTGCTCTTTGTCTTCTCTCTCATTCTGTTTGGGTCTTTGCCTTGTCTTTGTCTTTTGTTTTCCTGTTTGGCGTTCCGTCTGCCATGATTGGAGGCAAAGATCTTGTTCCTAATGGTGTGGACATCGAGGGAGAGAACTCAAGGAGCAAGGTGCAGTGCCCTCAGCATCGTGATTTTTCTTAGGGTAAGGAACGCCCACAAGAGAAAAAGCAAAAGGAAGGAGAAGAATCTTTGCGCAAGATAGAAGACCAAAACAAAGGAGAAGAAGAGAACGATTGCCATGCCATAATTTCTTAAATAAATAAAAATTCACGTAATAAAATATTTTGACATCAGCGTATTAATTATACAACACGTAAACATCAACTAACGCCGTCTGTGCCGTTTGTGACAATTTAACGGTCAAGGCAAAATTGACTCAATTTTACAAATATTTAGACCCAATTGAGATGTTTTGTAAATATATGAACCCAATTGAGATTGTTGGAAATAAGATGATCCACTTAAGATTCTCATTCAAATAAGTGGATCATCAGAAGATTTAAACTTAGAATTAAATATAAAAATCAAATTACTGATTAAACTTTTATTATATTGACACATGTTTAAAGAGAAATGTTTACATTAGTTTTATCTAACAAATATTATGACTAATTGATTAAGAATAAATATTAAGACTAAAATCAATCAGAAGTCTAAATAGTATACTATCAATTAAATAATTATAAATCTATCATAATATCCTAAAGTTATGTAATAATTATAAAATTCAATAATTTTATGTTTGTAACGTGAATGAAAAATAAATATAAAAATATGATTCAAATATATATATATATATATAATACAACCCAATTGTGTAATCAGTCAAATTAAAATTCAAATTAAATTTAAAATTTCAATGAAAAAAACATTTACAAATGTGGAAGATCACTTTGTGAAGTAAAATTGATTCATGTTCAAAACTTTAATACATTCTTTATCCCAAAACTTAAAGAGTAAATAAATGAATATATTCTCTTAAATATGATTATACTATTTCTTTTTTTACTAAAATGATTATATTTATTTTAAAAATAAAAAATTATCAAAATTTTTGTCCAATTAACTTCACAAAGAAAGTACAAAATATTTAACTCATAAGTAATGTAAATAAAATTTCAAGATTGTTTACTAAATAATAATATTTTATTGTCAAATAAAATGCACAAATAAAAATGTAACTGGAAAACAATAAATAACTTATAAAGAAGACATTAATAATATAATATTATAAAACGTGATAGAATGAAATACTATTAATTCTATTTTAAAATTAAGTTCAACGTTAAGGTGCATTTACATTTTTTTTTTCATTCTTATTTAACACAAGTTATGTAATACATTATTTAACACAATATTATCTTTCTTTATAATGATCAATCTAACACTATTGGTGTTAGCATTAAAAGTATATAGGTCCATGTAAATTTACCTTTTAAATCCTGTATTATTGATCTCAACTAATAATTTAGGTAGAAAAAACTTGAAAGGTTTTTGAATTATTTTTATTTAAAATTTCTCTAACCTTATAATAATATGTCTAATACTCTTGGTGTTAGAATTAAAAATATATATGGTACAAGTAAATTTACCTTTAACTCCTGTATTATTTATCTGAACTAAGAATTTAGGTAGAAAAAGTTTGGGTTTTCAGTTATTTTTATTTAAAATTTCTCTTATCTTTTAAGTATTTTATTAGCATAAATCATCTAAAATTTTGTAATTTTGAAATCTCAGATAATTTGTTGTGTGGCAGACTGATAAGAATTTTCTTAATTTAAAACCTAAAATCAAATTCATCCAGAAACTCAGGATTAAAAACATAATTAAGAATATATAATTGTAGTTAATCTGAAAATTGGTGTGTGATCTTTTACCCCTTGAATTATTTGCGTCACTTGACGGAGGCCTAGGGTTTAAATCGAAGGGGTTTTAGGATTAGGAAAAAGAAAGGTGCTAGGTGGAGTTCTTTGTAATCGAAACAAAGTATGGGGAAGAAGGAAGGAGATCTATGGGACGATTCAGCTCTCATCGCTGCCTTCGACCACGCTATTTCCACCTACAAGGTTTTCTTTTCTCTTTCTCTCTCTCTAATTGCAAATAATTTGGTAACCATATTTTCACTCTTCTTTATTCTAATTATTTGTTTATCTCATAAAAATTTACGATTTGTATATTCAAGAAAATGCATATCAGCGGCAAGAACAAAGACGCCACTGCTCAAGAGGCGGAGACAGTGATCGGAGAAGGAGCCTCCTATGTTGACTTCGCAAGTTCCGACACTACAAGGTTCAATTCAACTAGCATTAGTGAGCGTATAATTGTTGAACCAAAACACTCTATTGGAATATGTTTCAATCTTCTTTGTGTTTATTAATTAATATATATTTATATTTTCTTTTTATCGAGCTATCGTGCATTGCGTGATATTTCTCAATCGTGTAACAAGTTGTATCTGCATATTATTAGTATGCCCTACACTGGACAATTTTAGTCTTTGTTTGACATTCCGCTTCTCATAATAGTGCATTAAAGAGAACGTAAACCGTCATAGGTTGATGTTGTCGTGCCACCAGGAAAAGAACGTCGCAAATGAATTTTTACTATTTGTGCTGTCAAAGAGAAATTAGGTCACGATATACGGTTATAGTACATGGCATTGGTTATCCTCAGTAATTTTTCTCAATTTATTTTGCTTTATTGAACTCAGGGATGCTGACACGAATGACCATATTCCAGCTACTGACGTGCGTGATTCAGGTGAGACTAGTAATGAGCCAAAACTGGAAGAGGATCATCACGTAGAGTCACTGGTGGAGCAACCTTGCCTAGATTCAACAAGTGGTCAAGGCATCCAGAGTGGGCAGAGTGGTTATGCATATGCGGAAGGTGTAGATGATTATAATCAGTTGGTTATGCAGTATTATGAACTTGAGGAGAAAAGGGCGAAGATTTTGGAGCAACTCAATCAATACGGCTATTGGAATTACCAAAATTTGGCTGTTGCTTCTAGTTCTGGTGTACCTTATTCTGATTCTCAAGAGTATTCAATGGCTGGGTACCAAGTTTCTGATCCAAATGCTGTCTGTACATGTTGCCCCTGTTATAGTCAATGTCTACGGGAACCACTCACATCAATTCCTGCTTGTTCTTTGGGTGAATTATCTGTTGGCAAGCCTTGTAACAATGCTTATGTGGAAATGGATCATAAAATGCCATTTCCTTATAAGGATGATGACATCCGCAAAATGGCAATGGGAGCTGCAGAGAAGGCATTGTCTACTATTAGAACAACCATATCTGGCGAATTTAATGCAAATGAAGGTAATCCCATTACTTAGAGTAAACAGGTGCATGAATATAGTTGTTAAATGAATTGAACTTTGTTAGTTATATTGAGATCAAGCGTTTTCGTTCATAAATGCATCTGTTCTGTCATTTTTGTGCATCTGTAGGAATGCTGGTTGATAACTTGTATACATATATTGTTATGTTTAAGCTGGCGCCATCTGAATTTTTTCTCTCTATGTTTGGCTAGTTTATTGTTTTCTGTTAACCATTTTAATTTGATTGGATGAATTAAGAATTGTTTAGATGGTGTTAACTGTTTTAATGTATGCTGGTTTTTAAACGATTCACATATTGTAGCATAATTATTTCCTCCTTCCTTCTAGGGTTGTGTTCAGTTTGTTGATGAAACTGTCACAGTTATCAAATGCTTAATGTCCTTCCACCATTTTATGTTTCTATGGCTTTACTTTGTTATCTAGATATGCATCTTTTTTCCATTACTATCTCATTTTTTTACTTTATTTGATAAGCAGCATATTTGTTTGTTACATGCAATTTCAGGAAAAGAGAGAAACAATTCTGAACATGAAGAAATTAGTGGTTTGGAAACGGATCTTGCTGCTGTTTTGAATGCCTGGTATTCTGCTGGCTTCTGTACTGGAAAGTAAGTGTTAACGCAAGTTTTATTTGTGATAAATGTTGGTTCGTTTGTCATTCAAGCATTTTTCTAACTTACTAAGATTTTTTATTATTTAAACAAAATATAGTTTTTTGGATTATCATTATTGAACTTTGGCTGGTCCAATCATTTAACTCTCACTTTACTCAATCAAATTTAATCTTTACTGAACCTGTTTTAGTTAGTGCAAAATTTTGCAAGATAAACCTCTTGATATTTTTCATCGTCAAATCGAATTTACTTGTGTACCTCTCTCTCCTTACAGTTGCGAATATTGCCGAATACTAAGCATAGTTACATATATATGGAGGCGTTAATAGACTTTAGTTTTTATTGTTCTTTCAATTGAAATACATGATTGGAGCAAATTATTTTTGACACTTAGAATAATAGCAGTTATTGTATAAAAAATCCTGGTCTCCATGATTAGTGAGCTGTTTGGGTTATCTCAAACAAACCTCTAGTTATGTGTTCTCCTTTCTTTTTGTGCAATGATTGGTGTTATGATGATAACAGGTATATTGTTGAACAATCCATTCAAAACAGAAGATAAATGTAAACTCCTGCATCTTCAAGTGGAGTAAAATGGGTTCTCATTCAACTGTGCAAGTCCTTGTGATTATTTCTCCACAGTTGGGTAATTGGTCTACATCTTAGCTTCTTTGGGAAATCAGAGCTGTGGTATTATGATGTGATTGGACAGGCTGGCTCATAAATTTTGAAGCCCCGGTGCTAGTTTTCCTTGCAATATTATATTGGACATATTGAGGAAATGTTTTACTCTCTGCTGCAGACATGTATTTCTTGGTTCATTAGGTTTGGATGCAGAACTTGAAAATGCATACATATTTTTTGTTTAATGTCTGAAATTTGGTAGTTGGGTATCAGCGAGAGAGGAGTGATCCCATCACTTGTTACTTTTTTTTCTTAACTTCACAAGGACAGTTGAAATGTTGATACATTTTGGTTATAGTTCTACAATTAAGAAATATTTTTAAATTGTTTTTTGCATATTATCCAAGAAAATTGGTTAAAATAAGCTTAAAACAACTTATAGACAAACCGTTGGTATTTTCATGAATACTCTGAAATACTTATTAGTTTTTATGTACAATGTAAATAACATGATATAATGATATAGACGCAAGTTGTTTCTTCGTTGATAATATTGACCATACATCACGTAGGGCCTAAAACTACGGTTACTAGAATGGCTAATGGTTGCTATGGACCAAATACCAGGGAAAATTCTGTTTACACTTCCTAATGAAATCCACTTTTCAACAAACCATATTGTTAACACCTATTATGACGGGTTTCAGAAGTGAGAAACTCATTATTTTAATTATATTTTTGCGCTCTTTCGTTTTCTACATCACTTTTTAGACCTGAACACTTAATATAGAAGTGAGAAACTCGTTTATTGCATTATATATGTTTTTAACACCACAATCCCCAAACTTTTCAAGATTTTTCTCCAAAAGCTACTGCTATTAACGAAATGAGGAAAATGGCCTCAATATAGTTACTCCCTGTACGTATTTTTGTAATTGCAGCTTTATATCGGTTGACTTGCCACATGTATGTGGATCATACCCGTACTTTATTGGCAGCTTCCTTAATCTGATCAATTGTAAAAACGCCAAAGAAGTCATCATCTGTGACACCATTGATAACTGCCAATGCAACGTCATCAACACTAACAGGTGGAGCCAAGAGTAGATCAGAAGCAGGAAGAGAGCTTAAAGGTTTGGTGAAGTTCTCTACTGCTCGAAGAATTTTTTCTGCTGGCTCCCCTACCAAATCCAAAGGAAGCTCAAAACCGTCCACTCTCCTTTTCCCATATATGAACCCAGGTCTTAAGACAATACCTGAAGATGTTAACATGCCAGTGAGATTCAAGAATGCAATCAACAAAAACAATAAGGCCTATCTATTAGCTTTATATCCTTCAAAAATATGATATTCATCTTCCAGAAAATCTATTGCAGGATCCTCAATGAGCTTTCACTATATTAGTTTTACAATACCTTTTTTAATACAACAGATTGAATCGCTTACATATCTGGTGATGCTATCAGCAAATAAGTAACCATTGGATCCTTGTCAACAAATCTGGAATACCAATTTAGTTTATGACAGACTAGAATAATTACCTGAATTAGGGTATTTCGAGAGCACCTCGGATTCTGCTTTCCTCTTTCCAGTGAAGTACCCGGAGGAAAGTAAAAATGACGGCAAGTTATAATCGTGAACTGAGATCAAGATGAATTTGGGAATTCCTGCAATGCAGAAGTGAGGTCAGAACAGAGTAGTACATTAATTTCTTATTCTATGGTCCAATTCATAACTTCAAAGCAGCTAAAGAAGAAATATCCCTAATAGAATTAACGTGAATGAATGACTACGGCTTACAAGAACTTCTCAGAAGAAACTTTTGTGCAAAAATGAAACTGCTGAAGAATTGGGAAAATGCCAATGGATTTTTTGACACAACTGGTAAGTCAGAGTTAGCTGCTTGATCAAATTTTCAGTCACAACCAAAAATAATGTAATTGTAGTTATACAAATAGTTGCATTGGTTAATTCAACTAATCCTTCACTAGATGCATAAATATTCTGAAAAAATAAATAAAACAGCAAATTACAGATAAAGAATAGCATCTCTTCGGAGCAAAGAACTCTAATCACATGGATTCATCTCCTACTAGCTAGGATATTTGTAAATAGTTGTGATCTTCTACATGGAATGATAGTATTAGACAATTTATTGCATTTGTTCAAATAAAGCTACCTACCTGTGGTAACGAATTAAAATGAAACTAACTCATAAAAATCAGAGAACATTGCTAGCAAAAGGTTACGTCTTGCATTATGGAGGGGAATGCATGGAATTTTATGTCTAAAATATAGTCTAACATGAATAATGAAGGCCAAACACAAGTGAATTAATGCTGAATGAGATGGTTCACCATATTCCTTTGCAGCATTCACAGCCGCAACATTAGCCTCGCCATTAATTCTTTTCATCTGTTCGTCACTACCAAACCCTCCAAGTGTTGAAACAACTGCAGTAGCTCCAACAAGTACTTCATCCCAGTTTACATAAAAAACATCTCCTGCACATCAGGCAATATACTGATCAGCCTCCGGAGGAAAGAAATGGATATCTCTTGAAAATTGCTTATATGCCACAACAAATTATATTTTGTATATATCATAATATACATTCATTGACATGGTTATTATGTTAAAATGATACCAAATACGCCTGAATAATTGATCAGAGGAAACAATAGAATCTTTTTATCCGATTATACTAGGTGTGTGTACCTTCAGACTAAAATGATATACACCAACAATTGCAAGGAACCAAGAAGAAGATAATATCAAAAGATTACATTGACATTATATTTTAACTGGTCAAATCACAGTGTATTAAAATCTGCGGAATTATTCAAAGCAAATCCCATTAATTTTGATTTATCATGAATTCGTAATACACTAATTTGACGTTATCAATGAAATGCTTAATTTCAACTTCCAAACCGTAAAGTTCTGTGCTAAGATTGTGCCATGATTTTGGGTACATCTGCATTTCTTTTAGCAAGTAAAGGATATAAACATACACACAATAAGAAAGGGAAGAGATAAATATGCAAAGTTGAGTAACACACACTATTGGATAGTTTAGCACATGACACGTGTTTCTTACGTGTCTTTCTTTATGTACCTCGTGTTTTGTTTTCTTTGCTTCTCTGTCTTCCTTTTTTACAAGGATAATAATACTTTGAGAACATTTTTTTGACATCATTTTAATATCATCTAATCATCTATGTGTCATTCTATAATTGGTCCAAGTTAGTGTTTATGATTATTATTATTGATTGTGGAGTAATTTTGGACCAATCACAGAATGACACGTAGATGATGTTAAAATGTTATAAAAAAAAATGTTGTCAAAGTATCATTATCCTTTTTATAAATACTCTTGACTGATACATTGTTAAGAAGGTATACCACTTACAATACAAACATATTGGTTAAAGATATGAAGTGAGTAAAGTGTATGCATCTTTATCAATCTTAATAATTGCCTGTTCTTCTCTACAATCCACATGGTGTTTACTCTCACCCTACCCTCTTTCTGTGAATGCTCAGATTCCCTTAATCAATATCAAGAAAACAATGATGTATCTGTTTATTATAGGTTAAGTTAACATGCCTGAAATCCAAGTAACCTGATCTACCCATGCATCGGCATAAGTGGGTCGCCCTGACCTGTAAAACAAAATATTTGTTAAATAACCAAAATCAAAATACAGAGAGGAAGAGACCGATAGACAGACAGGTGCAGGAAATTGGATGAACATTTTTCAAACCTGCTTAGGCTAATGACCTCTATGCCCCTAGATACTGCTGCCTTGCATATGGCAGAACCAACAAAGCCATTCCCTCCTAAGACTACAATCTACAAAGAGAGACATAAATTCAATAACTTTTAAGTAAAAATATCCAAAACTGCACAATTTATGTCTCAAACTATTAAAGAATAAGATATATACATACCCGTTCACTTTTAACATCAGCCACAACATCTATGGTGTTAGATTTAGAATCAGCATTGACACCTGCTTCTGCATAACTACAGCTAACTGCAAACCTGCAGAACAGTATACATAAACCATTAGACAACATTTAATACATATTTAAATCCTGTCATCATTCAACAGTCCGGACCCATTAAGCAAAAGGGAAGCCAAAATTAGTCAATATCTATCACCATTGTACCGTGTACCAAAAATCACCATACCATATTCCCATTAAACAAAGAGGAAGTCAAACTTGGTCAATATTAGTTACATAACTCCCTCCACAACCCAGTGTGCCACATATACTGAAATCCCCACACCATTCACAGCTTACTGAATTCACCGCGTACCACCGGGTTCTCCTAAAAGGAGGTCCCGTAACGATAATGAATAAGGTGACGAACTGTGCACCTGTGCCACGGTAACGGTCCATGACTATCACCAAATAGCTGCCAACTTGGATCAGTATATTGAAACAGAGACCATCTAAACTTTTGCAAGCAGTGTTTGTCACATGCAACAAAAAATTGAGAATCATATTGAAAAGGCATGTACACTGCAACACAAAATCACTACTTAAAACCTCTTAGGGAAGAATGAGGAAGGGAAGTATAATCCGTGACACAAAAAGTGCATTCCTTGATCAACCAATGTAAACCATTGAACCTTGTTAAATAAGTCAACAAACAACATGCTGAAACACCAACTTACGATTCTCCCTTGACTCCCAATGTAACCAAAAACGACTTCATTATTGTACCGTCCCAAACCAAATATCTAAAATCAGTAGATCAGGAACTAATCAAGTGATGACGAAAACCACCAGCTTAAATTCCGTCACTGAACAACCCTGAAAGTGTACTGAGAACCCATCCACTTCCACCCTAAAACTCAAATTGACGAGTGTAAAATGGAACCACCCATCACCGAACAAACAAAGAACCCAGTAAACTAATTTCGTGGACACATGTTCCAAAAACTTACAAATAGCAGAAAAAACAAGAATTTCAGCTTTATTTTAAAACAAAATCAAACCCATGAAAAAGAAAATGAAGGAGAAGAAACTGAGAAGTCGAGGGAGGGGATTGGAGTGCTGACCGGTGATTTTTGGAATGCAAGGTGGGTTGGGTTTGAAAAGAAGGTCTTGTGAGGCGGAAAGCACTGGGAATGGGACGAGCAGAAACGGCAGGGAGAATAGACAAAAACGACGCCATTCAGCTTAGGCACTTGTCGGAAGGGAAGAACTGAGATGGGAGAAGAACGACAAA